GCTAGTGTAGCTCACTCCTTAATTAACCATTTCAGATCAGGAAGACATGGTTCCCGAGCCCGTTCCGCAGGAGGACGACGAAGGGGATGCCTAGAGACTCTGTAGTCATACGCATAGTTTATTTTCGAGTTTTCTTTCTTAGTTAGTTTAACTTTTTATATTTTAAGTACGTTTTTTTTTGTTTTTTCGTGTAAGGGATGTTAACTGAAATTTTGATCTCGCTTCCGCATTCGATATATTTAAATACTCATTTCTTTTTTAATATTTTCCGGGGCCGTTACACTATCAGGTAATCCTCGCGGCCGCCTCTGTGACTTACGAGCAGATTCATATAACCTATTCCTCTGCAGGCAGGTCAATTAAATTTATAATTTGTTAAAGCTACCTGACATAGTGTTACTATGTGAGATGTACATAAAATACGTGCAAGATCATCGTTAGGATCGACATAGTTGCCGAAAATTAACCGACCAAAATTAACTTCAGTCATTATATATTAAATAAAATTGAGGGTCGGATGAAAATAAAAAATTATAATGAATTTTATAACTATTTATATTAAAAAATAAGTAAATATAATTCCTCCAAGACAATAATAAAATATGTTGACTTGAATTTTTTTTAATATTTAACACAGTATTTATATATGTTAATACCAATCATTATTAATAATATAACAAACATATTTTTTTTATTTTATTATTTTTTTAAAAAAAAATTATTACTAAGAATATATTTTTTGTAAAAACTAAAAATTCAACCAATGAATTATTGGTCAAACTAGTAAAACAGTATAATCAATCTTATTTGGTTCAATAATTAATCTTATTTTAATTATTAGATTTCTAAGTGTTGTCTTAATTAGAGACTAAACTATAGAGTTTGTCTGGTAATTAGCTCCTTAATTACTACAAAACAAAATTTAAATAAAAATAAATTATAAAAAAAAAAAATTAATATGATTCTCTCAAAGCCCAAAAAGCTGGCCCGGTTTACCGGATCATTCAGAACAATTTGGACTTACGGTACTCGGGTTGACCCGTAACCGACGGCGACTCTAAGCGTTTCTGTTGTTTATGGTGGGGGGGGGGGGAC